CACTCACCTCAGCCTCCCAAAGGCGCGGGATTACAGGCTGAGCCACCAAGCCTGGCTGTGAAATATGTTTTAAAACATCTCTAATAAATGAGTATCCAGGTATTCTGGATTGATGACACTTGATTTTTTAGTATATGCCTTTCCCCAACATGAAGTAACAGGGTTTTTCATAAAGCATATCTTTAAAAGCTTAAAATAGGCCTTATGCCTGTATATTTAGAACTCAGTCAAAGGCAATGATAGCTAAGTTAGGTTTATTTCTAATGTGTTTTCTCCCAAATAGAAGGATATTAAAATCAATAGCCATGAGTAGAGCTATTGATTAATTTTCAAAAAGATATCCGAATAGGACATAATACATGCAAATAACACACATGGCTTTATCCTTTGCCATCCAAATATAAAGGTCTATTTGAAGGTCGGTGAAATTATATCCCCAGCATGCTTAGCTTAAATGAATTCAACAAAATCAGTTCAGCAAGAAAGGACAAAAAGGAAAATAACATTAAATTCCATGGGTAATTCTATAATCAATGATAAGGAGAGGACAATGGGAAAACAAAAAACAAAAAAAACACCCCAAAACCAAAGCAGGGCATGGGGCTAAGAGGGATAGGGGATGGGAAGACCCTGTGTGAAGGTCTCATTTGGCAAAGACTGGAATGAGGTGACACAGCAGTCGGCTGGGAGGATATCTGGGAGGAGGGCATTCCCGGCAGAGGGAACAGCAAGTGCTAAGGCCCTGTGTTTATTATACACTGAGCACTAGGAATTTTAAGGTTGAGTGTGACACAGAAAGAGAGAGAGGGGAAAAAAAGAACAAAGAACAAAGACAAGATAGTTTGGGACCACTACTCCATAGGAAGCAAATATAGTGCTCTGATAAAAAGCGAATGAAATGGAGCTATTTTCTAAAAAGGGCCACCAACTAGTGATTAATGATAAGATGATCAGAGTTACTGTTTTTTTCTCACCTGTTCCATTCCACTTTCATTATGGATTTTGGTTTTATCCTATGCATGGTTTAATACAATGTCCATGATGGCTTGAATCACTTAGGATACTGCCCTTGCCTTTGATTCTCATTGAGAGATGATGAGAAGGAATGTGATTTAGGGTAGGTTGTGTTGTTGTTATTGCTGGCTTTCATTTATTTAATAAACACTTCTTGTGAATAGGTAGAGGGGCTTGTGGAGACTACTTGAGAGCAAGCATCAGCAAAGGCTCTCTGAAGCTTCAGCATTCAACCAGGAAGATGGGAGTGAGCCAGCTGTGGGAGGGGACCAGAAGGCTCAAGGGGGAGGAAGCAGCAAGTGCCCTGCAGGGGAAGGGAGGTCAACACATTTAGGCCCAGAAAGAATTCCAGTGTGGCTGAAGCAGCATATGTGAGAGGGAACATGAGCTCAGGGCAGACTATAGAGGGACTAGTAAGTGAGAGTGAGCCTGGAGCTCGCGAGAGAGGGTTGGAATGGAAACACAATATTGTGTCTCAGCTGTAGACATGGAGTAGTCAGGGCCATCTGCAGGGAGGGGATTAGTCAAAAGACAGTGTGTGAGAAAAGGGGAGGGTCCATGACAGCCTTCAGGAATGGCCAGAGACTGGAGAAGTGAGAGAGCCTAGGGGAGGCCACATTTGAAGGAGGAGAAAGTGGGTAACACATCTAGAGCAGATGAGAGGCCAAGGAAGGTAAGGACTGAAAAATATCCACAAGGTTTAGTCACTGTGGCAAGAGTTGTTTTTAACTTCTCAGAAAAAAAATCAAAACAAAGGCCAAAAAGCATATGCCTTTCAGTCTGTTAAGAGATACACTCTCCTGATTTCCGATGTTGAAAGCTAAGAGAATAATATTCAGTTATTAGCATTTTCCAAGAGGATCATGTTTCACTCTCAGATCTTTAAAGAGAGACACTCCTGACTTGGGGGGGGGGGTGGTCAGTATATCTGTGAAGATATCTTTAAATTCAGAATCCTCTGGAATAATAACTCAACATCTTTAAATTCCAAGAAAATAATCTGGTGACTGGCTCCCTCACCTGGTTCCATCCTGTCCATCAAACCCATGACTTCTATCTACTTCCAAATAGGAATCCCCTTCACTTGTGAGTCTTTGTCCACACCACCATGCTACTAATGATGCATACTTCTTACTCTCTCTAGCTCAAGATATTTGCCCCCAATGTTCCTTCCGAGAAAGCTCCTCCTGTTATTTGTTATCAAGCCAGGTGCAGAGCACACGCTCGGTGCTACTCAGTAAGCTTGATGAGCTGTATTTAGGAAGCATAAAGAATCTTCCCTCTTCTCTCACTGTCCTGGCTGTTTCTATGCACAGTGATCCTGTTACTCTCAACACTTCTGTAGGTACTGCAATCAGACGCATAACATATCGGAGAATAAACAATACCTGGAAAAACACGTGTAAGGCCATGCTTAAAGATAATAGAAATACTTAACAAAACATTGCCTATTTAATCCGGACTAGGCTACATTATGAATATTTGCTAAATATAATATTTTAAACATAACACTAACATAATATGCATGTTATTTAAACCTGGGAAGCAAAAGCTAAAGAGAGGCAGTTATTCTTCGCCAAAGAAAAAACACTATGAAATCATATTCTTATATAGCAAAGGCAGCTCTTGTGATCAGAGTGCTAGAAAGGGTCAGTCAACAGAGCAGAGCTGTGTCCTGGCCACCTTTCTTTAAACTGGCAACTAAGTGGGTGATCTGAGTACGCGAATCCTTGCTACAGAGAACAGTCCTCTTTCTCTTGCTGGTGATACTGTTTTATTGTCAGAAACCAGGAAAGGCTTCAATGGAACACTTCTCTACTGCTATTTAGTCTCTGACTCTCAGAAGCAGAGGCTGATCATTCACTGTATACAAAGAGCACAGAAGGAGACCATGGCAACACGGGGTTCACCCACTAGCCATCCGACAGGCCAGGGACCTTCCTGAGCCCTCATTTTCTCATTCAGCCTGCTTAGTTCAGAAGGTTATTAAGAAAACTAAATGAGGTATTGGTTGAGAGTGTACTCATAAAGAGAGGCACAGGAGACATTCTAAGAGGATCTCTGAGAAATTTGAACTTCTTGGCAAAGAGAAAGGACTCGGGCTAAAATATGGATTATAGTTATACTTAAAACAATTAAGTATAGTTGAAATATACAACTTCAAAAAAATATATAGTCAACCATCAAGGCCACTGTACTCTAAATAGAAATGGAGGTACACCTGCAGTGTATATACAGAGCTTTTGGGAAAAAGCATTTTTAAAAGGGACTAGAGCCTTAAATTTGAATCCTGGCATCTGGACAAAAACAAGCAGAGGCCAAAATAACACCGCCAAAAAGCCTACAGACCATAAATACCTTTCCCCCTTATTACTCTAATTCAAAATAGCCTGGTAAGAGAGAAAGAAAAATTACATTTCCTCCTGAAAGCCTGGCCCCAATTAAAATTCTAAATGTCTCTTACACCAAGAGCACTGGTTTATTGGCAGATTATTAAGCCCTGGACCAATGTCACTCTGTTAGACCTGTATTAAAAACGTGGTTTATGTGGTACAGGGTCAGATCAGTAAAGAGCTGTTAGCAGATGACAGGTTTGATTACCGCTGGCTGCAGGCAAGACGTATGGATCCCTGAGGAACAGCAGCACGGGCTGGTGGGACAGTTTGCTGGAAAGGTCAAGAACAGGCATGTCAGCATCAGGGGACGACAGTAAACAGAAAACACTACAAACTAGCTTTGAGGGGATCAAACTGCTGTGCAGGGACATCTCAAGGTTTGTGTATCTAACGGTGAATAACAACAAACAGAGTTAGAGGAAACAAACCAACATGCGCTCATCTTCTAAGCATTTCCTTGTGGAATCTAAAGTACATACACAGTCTATATACTAAATCACTGCTGAAAAGTGCTTTCTTAAGAATCTTGTAATACAATTATTGATAGAACACTCTTATTACTTGTAGGAAACAATGTAGGGTTTTTATTGCTTCACTCCTAATTATAACTGGTGACTTCTGTCACTCCCTATCAAATGTTTACCATCTTAAACATCTCCTAACAAAGGTTTTCAAGAAAAACATAAGACATCGACACCATGGGTGATTAAACAGTTAACAAAACCACAGTCCTCGCCTTAGTCTGTACAACTCCTGATTGACTAGTATTTTTCTTACCTTGACTCTTCAGATTCTGTCTCATCAAAAGATCTAAAATTTTTGTAAAAGAAAGATAAAGAAAAGATCACATAAGCCAGACCAATGTTTATGTCAACAAAGGAAAAAATAACCAGTATTCTTGGAGCACTAAATTGGGAAACATTAAAAAAAAAAAAAGATGAGTTTTTACTGAACCACAGCATGGCTGATGCCTCACCCTAAGAAATCTTAGGACTAGAATATTCTTGAATTTCAATTTTCCTGATGATCACTTAAAAAGACTAAGGTTTTATTACTACTTTGGAGAAAAGAGTTCACTCACTGTCATTGCTAATGTGTCTTCTAAAAAACACATAAACATACAGGAAGCCTAGCCTCCCAGTAAAGGCATACAAGTCGGAACAGAACACACTGACAACACAGACTATGTGGTAAGTATAGTGTATAATTCTTGGAGTGGGGCTGGGATGGGGAAGAAGTGGTGAAATGTGGGCCTGAGTAAACAGAGCTAGTGAGGAGCTGTGAAGGTATTCACACCTCTCATCCAGAAGACAGGTGGGGTTTAACTTGACATTGGGTGTGGTCCACTAGATCACTTGTAATTAGTGTGGCTCCTTCAGGTGGGTCAGGAGGCAGTGAGAAAAGGGGTAAAACCAGCCAGTGCAGTGGCTCATGCCTATAATCCCAGCACTTTGGCAGGTCACGACAGAAGGATCACCTGAGCCCAGGAGTTCCAGACTAGCATAGGCAACATAGTGGGATCCCGTCTCTACAAAAAAATGGAAAAATTATCTAAGCATGGTGGCACGTGCCTGTAGTTCCAGCTACTTGGAAGGCTGAGGTGGAAGGATCACCTGATCCCAAGAGGTGGAAGCTGTGGTGAGCTGTGATTCCAGTCTTGGTGACAGAGTGAGGTCCTAACTAAAAAAAAAAAAAAAAAAAAAAAAAAAAATTAAATAAAAAGAAAAACAAAAGGAGTAAAACTCTCTCCTGCTTGGGTTTTCAGAGGGTTTGTGATGGGTTGCTTCTCTGTAAGTGGATTTACTATGCCAAGTTTGCTCCAGAAGACCTTCTAGGGGAAGCTAGCCCCAGTCATGTGCCCATGGCTGGGCAAGTGCCTTGTTTCAGAGTTCATTCTTCTGAGAGCTTTTCCCAATTGCTGGTAATATTAAACCTCTGGTACATAGGATTCAGATCTGCAGCCCCACCATTAGAGGTTTCTGAGGGGAGGCAGCCAGAAGGGTGGAGGAGAGGGGTCACTTTGGAAGGTCTGAGCTCTGCCAGCGTGGGAAAGGCAATAATTCCTGTGTCTCTGTTTGCTTAACTACAAAATGAGGGGAATTGAGTCAAACCAACTCCAAGGTCATTTGTAGCTTTAAAATTATATGACTATGTGCTCCAAGAAGATATGATTATTTGAGTATCCACAAATAAACAAATAAGTCCCTACACAGGCTACCTAGATTCATAATTCCCATCATGTAATATCACTCTATGTAACAGCATAATTTAAAAGGTCAATTCCTTAAGTCTAAACATGAGTTACTGAGCCTTGGCCATTTGGCCGGAAGACGGGGATGTGGACTTCAGACAAATTCCTTTGACCACAGGCAGGGGGCGAGCGAGTGCTGTCCCAAGCCAAACGAATGGGTGTGGCTGGTTGGCCCTTCTGGCACCACCCTGGGCTATTTGTTAGGCCAATCAGTTATTGAAGAGTAATTTAAAATACATGCCTAATAGGTCAACAATGACCCTTACCCACAACTTTCTGCCTTTGGTAGAGAGGGCAAGTGTCGCACGTTCAGGAAATCAAGAAACAGTTTGGGAAGCTCTTCATTTTCTAAAATGACAGCCTGTGAAACCAGAAAACGGAATTAGAAACTGAAGTGAAATTTGCTGGGTGATCAATCAAATGAACTATTTCAAAAAGTCATAACCGTCCATCAAAATTCTTACCAGCAACATTCTTCACAATCAGTATGAGGAGTGGTCCCCAGTTCACCCACCAGAATTCAGGCTGACACACATGCTGTGCGGGGCCAGGAAATGCTGCGTTTTACCTATTCTTTCCTTCAACCAGTACTGATACAGCATCTACTATATGCTAGATGCTGACGAGGTCACAGGGCCGTGAGGAACCAGGAAGATATGGTGCCTGCCTTCACGGAGGCGCTAGTCCAGAGTGAGTACTTCAAATCAAGGGAACATCAGTAATATTGCTAAGACATGTAAACCAAATTTTCCTTACTGAGCGATAAAGCAATCTGATGTGTGTATATGTGTACACACACACACACACACACACACACACACACACACACACACACACATTTTCATAGGAGATCTCTACTGTTTAGGAAATTCTATAAATGAGTTTTCTAACAGGAAGATTAAATCAAGACCCCTGAGCTATCACCTGTTTCGGCATTAGGATCAACTGACATTTATTGCCATTTGTACAACTCCACTTAAAGGGTCAGTAACAACCTTACTGCTAAGTGTAAATCAGAGTAGATGCTGAAAAAAAATCTACAGAGTTCTTCCATTTAGTGAGCTTTGCTAAATAGCTGGTATAATGGCATAACCATGTCAGTTCTCAGATCCAAAATATGAAATTTCAGGGAGAAATCTGATGGAAAACTACAGAATACATTTTCATATCTGTGTATTTTTAAAAGTCAGCCAGGGAGTGTGAACTGAGTGTACATTTCCATCCTCTCCCATTCCCTTTTTTCCCCAAGATCACAGGAGAAAAGCATTAAGGATTATGTAATAAACGCCAGCATCAATATAACTATTCTTAAGCCTCATTTTGTATAACTTGCCATGGGTAAGTTTTGCCCAGTAAGCACATGTAAGAACAGTGAGAACTGATGGTGAAATACCACTCAAATAGCTGATCAGGAACACAAGGTGGTGCATAAGATACACAACAGGAGACAAAATTAAGGTCACATTATGTGTATCTTGTATACACATAGTTCTATATAACATCTTGTTTGTAGCCATAATTTACATACTGAGTTACCCCATTTCTTGCCAGGTTTTGGAATACTGTTATCCCATGCAGGGCATAGAAATGGGGTGGGTGACTGAGTTGCTGGTGTCGTAGGTCCCCTCTGTCCTACACTAGTGTACAGCTCCTTGCCGTTCAATCCTGGAGAAGGATTGTCTGGACAGCCAACTCTATCAGGGGCTGCAACCATTCCCGACAGTCCACTGTACCCATTGAAGCTTACGGAATAAAAGAAGGAGAGTGGCAGGGAGCGGTGGCGCATGCCTATAATGGGAGGCCAAGGTGGGCAGACTGCCTGAGCCCAGGAGTTTGAGATCAGCCAGGGCAAAACAGCAAAGCCTAGTCTCTACAAAAAATAAAAAGAAGAAAAGTGTTTGGGGGGCTATATTTCATTCATTAAATAAATATTTACTGGGTATCTATTATGTCACACCCTGGGATACAGTGGTAAATATTAGGGGTCCAGTGGAGTGTAAGCAGGTGGAGAAAAGTAGTGATGAACAAGTAAACACACACAAAAACAGCAACTTAAACCTGCCTTAGAATAGAGACTTAGAATCCAAATACTGAACCTCTCTTTAAGGGTTTTTACATCCATCCATCCACCCAACTATTCATCTGTGGGTACATGTATATACTGCTTATTCTTTTCCTGATTACAAAAATACAAAAATGAAAAGTTTAGAAAATAAGGAGGAAAAAATTCTCTTCCCAGAGGCATAATTTCATTACAATTTCAGTTGAATTTTCTTAAGTCATTTCACTTTCACCTCAATTTTTACTTACCAAAGGAAAGTCTGCGGGTGCCCAAAGGTCATTGTTTCACTGCCTAGAACTCAGAAAGTTCTAGGAATCATCACACATATAAAAATCCAAGGTATTTTGGTTGTGATACAAGTTTCAATGATTACCAAGTTTTTTCTAGACATCTATTTAAGAAGATGATAAAATATTTATTTGAATAATAAAGCTGAATGTTGTAACAAATACAGACCGGTTTCCCCCAGGCAATGGTTTTAATTATCTGTATAAGTGGTAGCTTTCAGATTTTAAAAAAAATGGGGAGAGTATAACATTCTTATCTCCACCCCCACCTTCTTAAAATAAATTAAATCAATAACAAGTATGGGACACTTTTAATGACCTGAACTACTTAATTTCCAGGATCTTTAGACATGTCATCCATCACTGCAGTATGGAGGAAGACATCTCTTCAGTGTTCAGGGGGTTACTTTGGTTTTATTAATGCAAGATTTAGGGAATTTTAACAAGGTGAATTGTTTATTTGCCTTGACAGATTGGCTTACAATGCACTGGCTACGTCTACAGCATGATCATTAATGACAAAAGACAGGCAAAAAGCTGTTTACACTGCAACAGAGGGATGGGAATTAATCCTGCTCAGCCTCCCCAAACAGAGTTCTCTAAATAGATGACGGCATTGTTTTAGGTAAGATATGCTGGCAAAAAAGGAGTATAGAAAAATCCAGAAATCAGTGAGCATTTCTTTTGTTAAATTTTCACTGAATATTTCCAAATAATATTTTCCATAAAACAATGACTGATATACACTTTAGGATTGACTGCTATAAAGAAGGCAGTATTGGCAGGTTAGCTAAGCATTCAGTTATATGGGCAGGAATATTTCCTAAACGCTGTAAAAAAAAAAAAAGCTTGTAAGAAAAGAATACTTCAGTCCAGAGATGAAGTATAATCTATCAGAATTTACCTAAATTAGTATATTATCTATAAGTGAAATGGCTGTCATTAATTAGGACTAAGAGTCAAAAGAGGAATTCATTTAGTTCAATGAGCTGATTTTCAGTTCATAAACACATGATCTCATTCATGAAAAACTGAAAAGTAAAGTGGGGCCTCATAGCCGTTCCTTTTCCATCTCCTTCAGTTTCTTGAAGAGCAGTGTTCACAGGCAACCACCCCTTCTGGAAGCCACACCCAGGTCATCTCATATACTCGGAGCACTAGTCTGTTTTAAATCACTCACCTTTACTCAATGAGTAAGTTCTTAATTTTTAAAAAAATTATCTTTTTGAAGATCATATCCTATTTTCCCATTGTTTTGGACTGCTTATCTTTATTTTTGAATAATCTCCAGTGGCTAATCATTTTCATTCTTTAGAAAGGCAATGTGGATTAGAAAGCATGTGGGCTTTAGAGCAAGACCTGGGTTCGAATCCTTCATCTGTCTACTGGATTGTTGTGAGATTAAATGAGACATTGCCAAGAGTCTCTGACACATACTTACGTAATGGATGTTCATTCTCCTTCCTAGTTGAGTATTTTTATCAATTCCCAACAACCTACTTTATCTGTTTTGGAAGTTTGGAATATTGTCCATCTAACAAACAGAGCTTCTTAGCCCTCTATAATTCAGGGATCTTTTTGAAAATCAAATAAGAGGCTGGGTGCAGTGGTTCACACCTGTAATCTCAGCACTTTGGAAGGCAGAGGCGAGAGGATTGCCTGAGCCCAGGGGTTCGAGATCAGCCCGGGCAACATGGTGAGACCTTGTCTCTACAGTAAATCAAAATATTAGCCGGGCATGGTGGTGAGCACCTGTAGTTCCAACTACTTGGAAGGCTGAAGTGGAAGGATCACCTGAGCCCAGCAGGTCAAAACTACGGTAGCCATGCCACTATACTGCAGCCTGGGCAACAAAGTGAGATTCTGACTAAAAAAAAAAAAAAAAAATTCTGATAAGAGCTGAGTATCCTGTTTGCTGGAAAACACACACATATATAATTGTGCTTTCAGTGGCAGGAGGTTCACAGACCCCTGCCGGCCCAGCCAAGGACAGCTGCCTTTAGCTCAGATGGGCATTGTCACTGCTGAACCCTCTTTTCTTTGGCCCAGAGCCTGATATGTGCGGGATGTGCTATATGCCAGCTCCTCAAAGGACATGCTAGCCTTTCAGTTTTTTACCTCTTTGTCAATAGAACCCTGCTGAAGGGTGTGCTGTCTTGCAATCAGAATTCATCAATGCCTTCAGCTCTGGGCTGCAGTTGAAAATATTTGTCTGGCAGTGAAGTTACTGTGGTAAAGGAGTCTCTCTCTCTTTTTTTTTTCTGAATCAGGATCTCACTCTGTCGCCCAGGCTGGAGTACAGTGGCACAATCACAGCTCACTGCAGCCTCAAACTCCTGAGCTCAGGTAATTCTACCACCTCAACCTCCACAGTAGCTGAAACTACAGGTGTGCAACATCATGCCTGGCTAATTTTTTAATTTTTTATAGAGATGAGGTGTCTCACTATGTTGCCCAGGCTGGTTTTGAACTCCTGGGCTCAGGCAATCCTTCTGCCTTGGCCTCCCAAAGTACTGGGATTACAGATGTGAGCCATCGTACTTGCCCAAGGAGTATTTCTGATAGACCAAAATCTACTCCTCACCAATTCAGGAGAGTACTTCACATTAACGACTTCTGTGCAATATCACTCTAAAATGCAACATCAGTGGTGTGGAGAGTTTCTGACGTTAACAAAACGTTTAGGAAGATATGATTTTCAACTCTTGCTGCTAGGTCAGAGTTCAGCTGGTGAAGCACTAGTATGCTTCACCTGTGACGAGAGGGGCACTTTGAACTGAGGGGTAGTGATGGGTCCCAGGCCCAGTGCTATCTAACTGACCACCTAATGACCCTGGTGGTAGAGTTCTCACACTGCTCATCTCATTCTTGGATGCAAGTTGGCAGGCATCCTGGCAACTAATTTATGCAGTAAAATACCAGAATGCAAAATGAACGTGACAAGTTGGAGAAAAGGCTAGAAATAAACCCCACCAAATTTTACAGGCACACACACACTGAGTGAAATGCCAT